GCCCATTCTCCTCTGACCTCTCTCATTAACAAGCTGTTTTCAGGCACAGCACTGCCCCCGACTGGATGTTTTCTGTTTATCCCTCCATTCTCTGTAAGCTCTAGGCACCGTGGCTTGTGAAAATCCCAGAAGGGCGACTGCTTCTGACATGCTGGAACCACCAAGTCTGGCTCCTGCTTTCACACCACATCTAAAGTCACTTGTATCAGGTGTTGTAATGTTTAGCTGTACAGTGACTGACACCCTTGACCCTGTCTGGATGCTGGTTTATTCAGCTGCAGCCACATGCATCCCTGTTCGCAGGAGCAGGATGTTTATATGAGTAGACGTGCTTTATAAAGTGACCAATCTGTGTGTGTGTTTGTGTGTCTCTGAAGTGCTACATGTGTCACAGCACATGCAAACCCCGAAGAGTCGGGGATTTCCCTTCATCATAGTGACACCCAGAGGGAGCTGGGTCAGAGGCCTGGCAGCGGCTCATAGCCGTGTGCTAAGCTAAAGCCGGAGGCTCGGCTGTGGTTTGTAGCCGGGTGCTAAGCTAAACCCGGAAACCCGGCAGCCACCCATAGCCAGGTGCTAAGCTAAAGCCGGAGGCCTGGCGGCAGCTCGTAGCCGGGTGCTAAGCTAAAGCCGGAGGCCTGGCAGCGGCTCATAGCCGGGTGCTAAGCTAAAGCCGGAGGCCTGGCAGCGGCTCATAGCCGGGTGCTAAGCTAAAGCTGGAGGCCCGGCATGGCCCATAGCCGCGTGCTAAGCTAAAGCCTGAGGCCCGGCATGGCCCATAGCCGGGTGCTAAGCTAATGCCGGAGACCTGGCAGTGGCTCATAGCCGGGTGCTAAGCTAAAGCCGGAGACCCAGCATGGCCCATAGCCGGGTGCTAAGCTAAAGCCGGAGGCCCGGCATGGCCCATAGCCGGGTGCTAAGCTAAAACCGGAGGCCCGGCATGGCCCATAGCCAGGTGCTAAGCTAAAGCCGGAGGCCCGGCAGTGGCTCGTAGGCAGGTGCTAATGCTGTGTTCCATTTGGACTCGTAACTCATAGTCAGAAATTTCAACTGGAACGCCCCCTGAAGTTCCTACTCATGAAGTCGGATAAAGAGATACAACCCCAAGCTCAGAATCCAAGATGGCTGCGCTCTTTAACAGAAGTTAAAGCTGTAGTTTTATAGTTTTTATTATGCGCAAAATACTACATGATGTGTTGTTATCCACTGATATTGCTAACAATAGCTAACAATTAACTGGGCTAGAACTGGGTCCAGTTTCAGTAAGCAGGATTTCTTGCTTAAGCAGACAACTTGTTGGATTTAAGGTAGTGTAAATGTAAGTGAATGAGGATAAAGGCCATTTAAACTGGGATAAATTAAATCCAACAAGTTATCCAGGTAAGCAAGAAAGTTTGCTTTTTGAAACTGGTCCCTGGTATTGTTAAATGGCTTTCTGACTTGCTGTACTGAAATGCAGTTAACTCGTGTGTGATGTCATTCTCAGTTCCGAGTTTCGACCTCCGAAGTAAAAGGAAGGCAGCATAAGCAAATGTCGGAGGCACGGCTGTGGCCCATAGCTAAGTTCTAAGCTAAAGCTGGGCTAGTATTTATTAACAGATGAGTTTTCTTGGGGAATTTTTATGGTGTTCGTTTGATGGCAGGAATTGGCTTTCCTCCAGATGTACATTTTAAATCTCTTAATGTTAATGTATTTCAAAATATTTTTGCTTTCATTTGTAGTATTATCTGAAACTGGCAGAGAAATGTTTTTGTGGTATTGTCCCCTAATGGTTTGGAGGTGGTATTACATGCTGCTCTCTGCTTAACTAAGACCCATGGTGTCTCCCTCCCAGATCAGCCACAGCGACTGCCCCCACCTGACGGAGCCTTGGCCCCAGACCCCCAGGGTGGCCCCTATGCTGGCCTGAGTAATGGTAACGGGGTCCCCCCCCCGGGCACCACGCACACGGCCGCAGAGCCCAGGAAGCAGCCATCACCTGTGTCACACAAGGTGCAGCGCAAGCTACAGTCCAGCCTGTCAGTCAGCAGCGGCGGCAGCCGGAGGAGCAAGGGCAGCTCCACAGCCTCCCACAAGCCGGGCTCTTCCCCAGAAGGTAGGGAGCGCCACCTGCTGTTGCATCAGTCTTTAAAGCAGGGCCTCATATTCAGGTGCAAGTTTGCTATTTTTGGGGCCCAACTCAAAAAGTTACCTTGGGGTCCTCCACTGGTATAGTGACAGATTGTGGCCAACAGTAGGGTCCCAAACCTCAAGAGGCCCACACAAGTGTATGGCTTTAGTGGTAGTATACCCTGCCAAAGGGGGTGGTTATGAAGCAAGGGTGCTTTTCCACCACACCAGGTACCGTACTTTTGGTACTTCAAGAAAGTACCAAATATGCGGTACTTCAAGGTGTTGGTTTTCCACTGGCATAAAAACTAGTACCAGCACTGAATGAAATCACAACTCGAGGCAGGGTCTTTTGTACTGAATTCTAAAAATGGCTGTAGTATATTATATGGCTTGGTGATGTGCAATATTAATACCAACATCGCATGTACAATCCTTCATCGCTAGTCAGCTATATTAAAATAAGGCTTTTTCTTACTTTGAGTTCTGTATGGACATTATAGTGCAGGGGGCTTAAAGTTTCACTAAAATATTTTTACTCTGTCATAGGGGGAAAAAAAACTTAGCAAGCTTTGCAATTTTAATTATTATTCCTTTTATAGACTCTTATCTGTTTAAAAATCAGTTTAAAGTTTTACTTCCGCTGATTTTGCATAAACTCTGTATGTATTCTCCAAGACAATCGCAATCATTTTCATCCTTGTCCTTTAAATCACTCGATGATGGGTTTGTGAGAAATTTACGGGCTCCTTTTTTGTTTTATAAATACCCCAATATCTATTACAACAAAATCACATTGTTATATTTATAAAATCGCTAGGACAGCACGCTATACTTTTTAATTTTGTGTCATGCCATCATGATCTTTTTGTTGTATCTATTCTTCCAGCCAAATCACTTTTTTTTTTTTTTACTTTGTTTATCATTGTTTTTTGAGTTCGCAACTGTTTTCAAGGCGGCGTTTGTGTTGTGTTTCAGAAGCAGGCTATTTGCATAACCAATCGACAAAGAAAGCGTTTCAAGTCCCACCCCAAAGTACCGAGGTACCAAAGAAGTACCCCAGCTGGTTTGGCACTTTCAGTACTGGCACTTTCGGTACTGGTACTCGACCAGAAGTCAATAGAAAAGGGATAGCACTGGTAAAAGTACGGTACTTGGTGCTGTGGAAAAGCACCCAAATAAGTGAATTATCCAGAAACTTCTGGCATAACATGCTGTGTGGGAAGGAAAGGCAGCTGAGCCAGGAGGGTCACATGACTCCTGTACACAAACACACACACACGCTGGCAAGGACACGTTAAGTCGTGGGAGGGTCACATGACTCCTGTACACAAACACACACATACACACTGGCACGCGCGTGCAGTTAAGCCACAGGAGAGCCCGCCCGCAATAGCGGCACGCTCAGACCCTGGCGAGTGCTCCAGGCTGTCGTTTGCTGAATATAATCAGAGGAGATCACACTGGCCCCAAGGCAGCATGTTCAGCGTGACACATTGCCCCCCCACACTCAACAATCAGCCATGAGCAAGGCTGTGAAATTGGGATGGGTGTCACAGCGAAGGTGCTGGCCTGGAGCCACCAGGGTGAGACTTTTTAATGAGGTCGGAAGTGTGTGGGACCCCTCCCCCCCACGCACTCCGCCAGACCCTAACAGTGCCCCATCATTAACGGCGACCCCCCAGGCGAGCCACATCTCGCCCCTCCTTTGTCTGGGAGCTCTTTCCTATCCCCCATTTCCATGCCAAGTGGCGCTCTGTCCTCTTTTTACTTCTTACTAATTATAAGGAAATATTATGAATGCCCAGCCATGGCTTGGCGCCCCCTCCTGGTTTGCTCGCTGCCTTGTGCCTGTAGCCTCCAGGATAGGCCCCGGACCCCCGCCACCCTGACTAGGCCAAGCAGTTGCAGAAGATGGATGGATGGATGGATGGATGGATTAGTAATGCCAGACTACCAAATGGCTTGCCAAGTCATGCGTTATCATAATGCGGTCCGCCTGCCAGATCATGATAAAACTAATATCGAAAGGTTAGCAGATTAATTTTTATTATGCAAAATGAGCAAGGAAGTGAATCATTAATATTAGTGAAGAATTTATTTGCGAGGTATGGAGATACGGCTGGAGATACCGCTGCTGTACAGAGGTCATGTTGTAGGGTTATGTAGGTTTTCACTTTTTTTCATGCTATCTGTAGGGATGATAGTCTGACTTCCTTAAGTTTTCTCCTATAAGATGTATTTTCTGTTGCGTCGTAGTGCTGATTGCGGCTTTCTTCCTCTGTCTGCAGCATCATGCTTTCTTTGGCTGCCTCTGCCCCCCCGCTGTCATCTGAAACGCTTATTAAAAACGTCGGGATTAGCTTGTTTGAGCGCGACCGAGTGGTTCACTTCTGGCGGCTGTGTGTCCACTATCTAGTGTATCGCCTGTTTCCCCTCTAGGGGCTCGGTCCTGCTAAATGGGCCGCAGTCCCATGCTTCACACGGTACATAGCCTGTCCCCCTGCTGCCCAAACCCACAGTCAGCCTGGTGCCCAGTCCCACAAGTCGGCCGAGCTCTTGGGCAGATAGAGGTCCTTCGTTTTGGCTGTCAGCGGTGGCCGGCCACCTTTCCTATGCAAGGACCTTTCCTCTGACTTTCTAGCTGGCCTGCCTTCTGCCTGTGCTCTGTCCCCTTTGGCTAGGCTATGTGGGCCTCTCGCTGGCACTTACATGGCCGCCCTCACAGTCATGTGACTCCCAGGTCCCCTGCCTACGTGCTTCCCTTGTATAACGTACCTCAGTGACAGTACCTCATGTAGTATTTGCAGACTGGCCTCCTGCCCCCCCCCTCCACCCCTCTCATGGTTCCCTCTTTAAACTCCAGTGTGTTACTCTGCAGTGTTTGCAGGCTGGCCCCCCGGCCCCCCCGCCCTGCCCCTCTCATGGTTCCCTCTTTAAACTCCAGTGTGTTACTCTGCAGTGTTTGCAGGCTGGCCCCCCGGCCCCCCCGCCCTGCCCCTCTCATGGTTCCCTCTTTAAACTCCAGTGTGTTACTCTGCAGTGTTTGCAGGCTGGCCCCCCAAGCCCCCCGCCCTGCCCCACCCCTCACATGTCTCCCCACTACTCCTAAAATCCACTCCTGACCATTTCCAGATGTTTCTAGCTATTTTCTCCCAATCGTTTCTGCTGCTGTTTGTTGTGATTTTTTCCCCCCGCTCACGGCTAGCTTGTGTTATTCTTCTGCATATTTTTTCCTCCCTATGGCATCTTGTTGCAGTGCCTGCTTCAAAATGTCAGAATCAAGACAAACCTGAGAAACCCAAATCTATTTTAGTTGAACTACTTCTCTGTTTAAATCTACAGTACATATCCCCATATCTATATATTTCTCAACAATTGAAATGTTTCATATTTAAAGTACCAGACACCTGCCCGCTTTTAGTGCGATTAATGATCATTTTACTGCCTGAATCTCAGCGTTGGATTTGTAAATATTTTTCTGTGCTCTACACAGTAAGCTTGGCATGTCAATGGTAACTCGACAAGTAGAGCATTTCACAAACAATGCATGTTCTCGGGTTCAAATCCCAGGGAGCAGACATACATTGTAACCCCTGCCTGCTACTGTAAGTAGCCTTGGGTAAAAGCATCATATACGCACACACCAGTGACACTGAACGCTAACCCAACTTCAGCAGTAGGAAACATGGTGCTTTCATTAAAACACTAATTATCTAATGACTTGAAAATGAAAGGAAAATTGTCTTAAGTAAGTAATGCAAGTGACTCCTCTGTCTTCTTCCTGCCAAAAATACGTCAAGCACCTAAGAAATGCATTACACTGGCGGTGATGTTTGATTATTCGGGAAATTCTGGGGGCTTCCTAATCGGACCAGTATTCCCAGCAGCACTGGAAGGACACACCCTCCTGAAGCACTGGGTTACCCTCAGACCTGCTCTCGTCCCGTGAGCTTGATGGATTTACAACGCCAATTCCAAAAAAGTTTGGACATTGTGCAAATTGTAAATAAGAACAGATTGCAATGATATGGAAATCTCATAAACCCATATTTTACTCAAAACAGAACATTGAAAACATATTAAATGTTTAAACTGAGAAATTGTGTCATTTTAAGGAAAAAATAAGGTAATTTTGAATGTCATGGCAGCAACACGTCTCAAAAAACTTGGGACAAGGTCATGTTTACCCCTGTGTGGCATCTCCTCTTCTTTTAATAACAGTCTGTAAACGTCTGGGGACTGAGGAGATCAGTTGCTTGACTTTTGGGAGAGGAATGTTGTCCCATTCTTGTCTGATACAGTTGCTCAAGTGTCCTAGGTCTTCCGTGTCGTATTTTTCTTTTTATGATGCGCCAAATGTTCTCAATGGGTGAAAGATCTGGACCACTGGCAGGCTAGTTCAGTACCTGGACCCTTCTTCTACGAAGCCATGATGTTGTAATTGATGCAGTGTGTGGTTTGGCATTGTCATGTTGGGAAATGCAAGGTCTTCCCTGAAAGAGACGTCGTCTGGATGGGAGCATATTTCGCTCTAGAACCTGGATATACCTCTCAGCATTGATGGTGCCTTTCCAGATACAGTTTGCAAGCTGCCCCTGCCATATGTACTAATGCACTCCCATACATCAGAGATGCTGGCTTTTGATCTGAACGATGACAACATGCTGGGTGGTCCTTTAACTCTTTAGTCCAGATGATACTGCGTCCCCGGTTTCCAAAAAGAATTTCAAATTTAGATTCGTCTGACCACAGAACAATTCTCCAATTAGCCACAGTCCATTTTAAATGAGCTTTGGCCCAGAGAAGACGTAGGTGATTCTGGATCATGTTCAAATACGGCTTCTTCTTTGAATGATAGAGTTTTACCTGGCATCTGCGGATGGCACGATGAATTGTGTTCACTGACAGTGTTTTCTGGAAATATTCCTGAGCCCATTTTCATTACAGAATCATGCCTGTTTGTGATGCAGTGCAGTCTAAGGGCCCAAAGATCACCAAGATCCAGTATGGTTTTCGGCCTTGTCCCTTACGCAAATTCTTGGTATCTTTTGATTATATTGTGTACTGTAGATGATGATATATTCAACCTTGTTTTTACATTTTTCACACTGAGGAACTTTTTTCTGAAATTGCTCAACTATTTGTCGACGCAGTGTTGGGGGGATTGATGATCTTCTGCCCATCTTTACTTCTGAGAGATGCTGCAGCTCTAAGATGCTCTTTTCATACCCAATAATGTTACTGACCTGTTGCTATTTGACCTAATTAGTTGCGAATTGTTCCCTAGCTGTTGCCTTTTGTACCACTAACTTTTCCAGCCTCTTATTGGCCATGTCCCAACTTTTTTGAGACACATTGCTGTCATGAAAATCAACAAGCCAATATTTTTCATGAAATTGCAAAATGTCTCATATGCAACATTTGATATGTTTTCTATGTTCTATTGTGAATAAAATATGGGTTTATTATCTTTCCATGTCATTACATTGTGTTTTTATTTACAATTTGCACAACGTCCCAACATTTTTGGAACTGGGGTTGTAATTCTCCTCCCTAACACCCTCTCGCATTCTCTCTTCCTGGGCCTTCCAGACTGCTGCGTCCACTGCATCCTGGCCTGCCTCTTCTGCGAGTTCCTCAGCCTGTGCAACATGGTGCTGGCGCAGGCATCCTGCGGCGGCTGCAGCTCGGAGGCCTGCTGCTGCTGCTGTGCAGATGACCTGGGAGACGACTGCAACTGCCCCTGCGACATGGACTGTGGCATCATGGACGCCTGCTGCGAGTCCTCCGACTGCCTGGAGATCTGCATGGAGTGCTGTGGGATCTGCTTCCCCACATAAAGGGGCCCCACACCACCTGCTCATGCTCGCCCCCAGTGGCCACTCCACATTGATTCCCGAGAAGTTCAGGATCCCCCCCATTCTGTCATGAACTTCAAAGAACCACAGACAAACTCTGAAGGTCCTCAGTACAAAGATATCCAGATGGTCCAACATGGAGACTTTATCGACTCCCGTGATATTGGTAACATTTTTTACAATAGATATCCTGTATCAAAATTAGTTTTTATAAAGGCAATATAGTTTCCTATGCTACACTAGGGCTTTTAGCAACATGCTACATTAGTGTAATGTTATGAGAAACTGTACATCTGGTATAATGGGATGGTGTGCGTGTCAGTCACAGGCCGCCTGTGCATGGCATGTGTGTCAGTCACAGGCCACCTGTGCATGGCGTCTGTGCATGGCGTGTGTGTCAGCCACAGGCCGCCTGTGCATGGCGACTGTGTCAGCCACAGGCCGCCTGAGCTGTCCTCCACCAGCTTCAGAAGCCAAAGCACAGTGCGCAGACAGTGATGCGGAAATGTCCATCTTACTGATTCCAGAGACGCCAAAGAATATTCTGAAAGTCTAAGAAACATGGAAGCTACATGACACTGTATCTCCTTCTAGACCATCCCCTCATTCTCTCGATAGAGTAAATCAGTAACCTTTTCTATGAGAAATCAGGGTTTTTAATTGGAGTAGTTATTGTATTAATTTTGGACATTTCTGTAGCATAGAGAGCAAATACTGTAGAAGTAAAAAATTATTTTGTTTTAACATCATCTACTGTAGCTTGCTAAACCTTTAAATCATTATCCTGACTGCTTTAGTTGCCATAAGAAAAAGTGCAGTAACTCTACAGAAAAATCAGCTGAGGGTCTGTGAGATGCACGTTTTTTTGTTTGCTTCTATGGTGAAGAGTCGGCTTCAGCCAGGATTTTAACATTGTGAAGTGAAACTGTTTTACTATCAAACTAGTGGATGAGTTTTTTATACTAATAATCGAAATGAGCTTCCTGCAGATGTTTAAAGGAGAGACTAGTTTATCCTCTGTGCCTCTTGGAGCAAATTTATTAACTCAGCAAATGATTAGCAGGATGTTTGAGTAACAGCTCAGGCTACCAGCCTTTAAACTGGACTCTTGTTGGGAATACTGGCTTCCAGGACTGATATTTCAGTTTATTTTGTTTTCAGTGTTACTACGTGAAGGTTTCTCCATTTCAGTAACGTAGTGACCTGTCTCAGGATCAGTGAACTTTTTTTCCCCTTGTCATATGGTTAATTTCCTATGGTATGTGTTCAAACCAAGCTGATGTGATTCTCAACACGCATTTACTTCACATTAATCGTTATTATTCAAATAATACTTGTTGGAATGTGTTCCTGGAAGCTGAAAGTCATTAATAACCCACTTTGGGGGAATCATTGTGACTCCAGCCATGATAAGTGACACTGGATTGTGAGCAAATCAAAGAAATGCAAAAACGGTATGTTTTACTGTACCGAAAATACACGCTAATGTGGCTCAGCAAAAATCCCATCACACAAGGCAAGTCTGTGCTGCTTGATAGAAACAATGCAAGTCATTTGACATACTTTACAATATTAGGAAGTCTTATCTGGGAATGTTGCGATCATTTTCCTTGACTGATATAGAACCATATCTCTGTGCCATTAACAGCGTCTGTAATCCTGTGATTAGGACAGAGTGTCTGTTTGTTTTCAGCAGATCATCTCTGCAGCACAAGCTGTACACTAATACAGGTAAATACTAAACTAAGGCTTTTCTGTTCGATCTCTGATGTTTTTACTACTAGAATTTATTTGCTGTTACCTGGGAAAACAAGACAAATGTGAAAGTCCAGTTTTAAAATAGCTTATTTATCAGTTATCACCATGGATTTCTTATTGGGATTATAAATCCGAATGCTCTAGACGTGCAGAATGAGCGCCCCTTGATAACGTTAATAGCATTTCCTGTGTTCTATACTGTAACTTTTGTCATTTTGTTCTATACTGTATCTGACATAATCATAATCCTGCTTTTGCTGTATTTGTCATTTTGAGTCATTATGGTGAACACTATTTGGAAAATAAAACCGATTTCCTTTGAGTGGCGGTGTCATGGTCATGTGCTCTCTGCCGAAGGAAGCCCTTCCGGCTGCTAGTCCCTGTTCCTCTGAGTCTGACTCCGAGCCACTTGGGGTGACTCATAGAAACTCGATACACAGCCTTTTTCATTCTGAAAGCTGGCCTCCTCTCATGTGAACAGGATTGGCGATGATTAAGAGTTTGAGTGTTACACTGTGATTCGCTGTCGGTTGTTGCTAGGGAAAAAATGAACATAAATCCAGATCTGTACATTTTCTCGTTAGCAGAGTGTTTGGTCCCAGAAAGAAAACAGATGCACATGACAGTCACATGGTTAGTCCACATACATGTCACTGGTGTGAAGCAGCATGGAGTCGCCATGGTGGTGCAGGGCTCGATTTGGGTGAGCTTTGTGGTTTCCATGGTGATGATAACCAGCCCCCAGCCCACAGGTACATATTAATGAAACACAGCTGGGCCTGGTTGGCCTAATTGTTTCATTAGGGTCATCTGGGTGTATTCAGGATAGAGTCTGTAAGAAAGATACCTACATGGGGGCTTTTCCACCATTTTAGCTTTCCTTTATAAAAGGGTTGTTTGTTTAGGTATTTCCTAAAATAGTCGTTTTTTCGGTTAAGCCTTGTGACACAGTGCCTGTGCTCCTCCACGCTTCACCGTGCTCCTCCGCGCTACCAAAAA